TGATATGGGCCAAAAAAAAAAAAAAAAAGTATGAAGCACCAGTGCAGAATCTCTCACCTCATTTCCATACATCATTAGGTGGTGTGTGGTGATGAGCGCTTTGAAGACCACAACCCAGCTGCTGTTGGTGGTTCTTTCAAACAGAGAGTCGGCCAACTGTGGCACGTTCACATTCATCTCATTGGTGCAGTGGATCAAGTCTGAAAACACACATGGGGCACATGTTAGAGCAACACACATCACTGATTCACATCTCTAATGGTTCCAAGATCCCGCACAAGATGTTCCAATAAACACAGCATGGACACAAACATGGCAGGGCCCTTGCATTGCATGAAACACACATTAAAGTATCTGCAGCAGGAGCTAATGGAAGTAGATCTCAGCGGACTCTCATAATATCTCTCTGTATGCTACACCAAGGGTTAGACAGGCTTCTAACCCAGTCGTTCTGTTATGCAACACTCACAAACAAGAGAAGATTCAAAGAGCGTCACGTCTTTAAATATGCAGCAGCATCCCAGTTTTGCTTTGCATACTCGCATCCGAAAGCAGCATCTCTTGAACACCATCAGAGGCTCGAAAACACTTGTTTCTGTTCTGCCCTGTTTGCATAATGAAAACATTCCTCCTACAGCCCATAGTGTTCTTTTTGTTCTTCAAAGGCAAATCTCTTTACCCCCTTCCCTTGAGAGAAACATCTTTTCACACACAGAGCAGGTAATGAGGGAGACGACTCCTCCGTATCTGTCGGATTTTGGCCCTGCGGGCCTGTCTGTTGTTCTAACAGGAAGTTCTAGTAGTAAGTAGTGCAGCTCCCAATTGGAGACTGATGATGAATCACAAGGATCTGGCAAAAGAGACGGTACACTAGTATGGGCTATACATCTACAAAACACACTTACAGGATGCCAGTGAGGTTCAAATGGCCTATAAATTGAGGATGTGATGCGACACAGTGTGGAGTGTGTGTAGATAAGCCTCTGTGGTGTAATTCATATTTACATAGAGGAGCTTTACAATAATTTTCATTGAATTCTGTGAAACACGAAATGCACTTTAAAATTTACTTCTGTTGGCATTGACAGAGCAGTTATTGGTTGAGATGATTATATATCTTATTATATCTATTATATTATATCTGTTAATAAATATTGATTTCCAGGAAATGCATGAACCAATAAAACGTATACCTTGAATGCAATATAAGTCACTTTGGATAACACAGGTGTAGCGTCTGGACCAATCAAACACACAATTTTTCATTTGATTTAACAAATCTAACATTCATTAGATTAACAAATCGTCACAGTCCCCTCACCCTTGACCCTGAGAGGTCAAGTAAATATCTACAGCGGATCTAAATATTTGTAATTAATTATAACTAGTTATGATTAATTATTCATATTTCCCCAAGAGCTGATTCGCTACACAGGGTATCTGCAGGGTTTTTCAGTCCCACCAGGATTTTGCGATTCTGCAATCGCTTAATTTATCGCAAAATCAAGCAAACTCCGCAATTTTCGCAAGAGCTCGCAAACTTTCGTAATTGCCATTTTGGCCTTAGACGCGTCCCATGACGTCATCGCAACGCGCATTCAGTCAAAGAAAGGTTGTTTCTCAGTTCCAAAAATGGAATGAACAGCCTTGCGTTCTCATCATGACCAATTTACAAGAGCTACATTGGACAAACGAACCGAAAGTGGAACGAATCCGCGCTACTCGTTTGGGCTACGCAGTGCAGACCGGTTATCTGAAATTTACCGTTTATCTGAGACCGAATTTGAAAGTTATTTTTAATGTGATGACATTATTTGTTCATCCTTCATAGGTTGCCCCCATTTATAAAACTAAAAGTTTCATAATGTAGGAAAGCAAACATTTATTTAAAAATAAAAAAGACATTAAATTACCACTAGTAGATGGCTGCAGAGAAGTACTTATAGGCTTATTAGCCATTTCCACTCCCTAATATATATTTTTTGTATTTATTAAATTATATTTAGACATTATGAATGGTAATAAAAGTTAATTTTATCTGCATATCAACTACCCAGACAGCACAAGTACATCTGTAAGAAGTCTGCTAAAGATCTGGGAAACATCTGCTGTGTAATCTGATAAACGTCTCAGAATGCATTCTAATAAATGTCTATTTGACATCTGACAGGAAACGTCTTAGAGACGTATTGCAGATGAGCAACCACTCTAAAAATACATCTTGCACATGTAAATGCAGACATCAAATAGACATCTCCGAGATGTGTGATTGGGGTGAGTGCTTTACTGTCAGGAGCTGGTGCCACTTTCTGTAGAACTTAACAGCTCTGGTGCTGGTGTCCTCAAATGTTAGTCTAGAGCCCTACAATGGTTCTCGAAGTCAGAAAAGTCATAATGTTAGAAGAATGTTGTCTGTGGTATATTTTCACTGCAAAACAATAAGAAATGCCGCAAGTTTTGAGAAAAGCTGCAGCAAAATCAGTCATTTTAGGCCGCGAAAATAAGAAAAAACTCCCACGAAATCCTGGAGGGACTGGTTCTTAAAATCAAATTTAAGGCACTTTAAGAACTGCATACTGTATGTACTGAAAACCATACTGTATGTTCCTACAAAACAAACCCATTCAATCTCAAAATAAATAATGTATCTCAAATTATTTTACTTAAACATGCTAGGACACACATTCAACTGCAAAACAGGGTAACTGCAAGTTTAAAATACTCAAGACATGTTTTATTCAATATTTATATACAGTATGTACTAAAATTGGTTCATATAATAATATACCAATACTTATGAATTAGAGGTTGATCAATATTGGATATTGTTCATGGTAATAATGTGTTTAAATAAAGGCAATAAATGGATTATTGTGCCTATAACAGATCAAATCTATATAATTAATTATAATTTATCATATTTATATTTTATAATTATAATTAATGTTTTAACTAATATTTTATATTTTTGCACAACCCATCATAATTATAATTTATAATATTTACATTTTATAATTATAATTAATGTTTTAACTAATATTTTATTTCTGCGCAACCCATCATAGTCTTTTGAAGTTTAATAATCACATTAGAAAGTATTGTAATTAAGTTTATACGTAAAACCTTTTAAAAGAGACAAGACAAGATAAGACTTTTGTTACACCTTTTCTATTGCCTTAAATTAGATAAACTCAAATTTAAGGCATTTTAAGAATTTTTATGGACCTGTGGGGACCCTATAACAAGTGCCAAATGCATAAATGTAATAATTATTAATCAACAGCGTAGTTTGTGCCCTGTCGTTAATTTTTAAAATTAACATTTTCATAATGAACCAAGTTAGAAGGTTCCCTGTATACTTTACACAGCATTGAAATGATAGTTGACCCAAAAATAAAACATTCTGTCTTCATTTACTCACTCTCTTGTTGCTCCAAACCTGTATGACAGATTGTGGAACAGATTGTTAAGATATTTTGAAGAATGTATGGACAAAAACAATTGAAACAATGAAATAAAAGTAATTGGGGTCCAAAACAACACTGGACTTGCCACGATAGACGGTGCTGACGGTGATACCGTTGTTAAGCCGCAACATAGTAATAAAAATCATTTAGTTCAGTAAAAGAACAGACACTACAATTATAAACTGAACGCGGCTGCTCAATGCAGCGTGCCAATAACGACAGTCGCATCACAGATCAGATTTCATTTCTCCAGTGAGGAGAGTGAGTCGAGCTGACTGACAAGAAGAGTGGGGTGAGACAAACAAGATGACCGCGGATGATTTAGTTTCAAAATGAAATGCAAAAGCGCCTGTTTGGCAGTATTTTGGATTTTGAAAAGCCTGTTGACTTTTGCCGTTTATCTAAGGTGATTTTGGAAGTTTTTTTAAACATTCGTTTCTTATTTAATTGGTTCCATAGTGTTTGCTGATTTTGACTTTAATTAAACTTTGTGTAATTTATTTATTTTATTTGACATCAAGATGTAGGCCTATGCCATCCCTCCAAGTTTTCTTATTCGTTTTGCTAATAAACTTTAAAATTTTCTTATTTATTATATATATATATATATATACACACCTTGCTACGTGTACTGCGTTCGGTTAACCGAGACTTGTCATTTGCACTTATATATTGTTGCTCTTTTGTTAGTTTTGACTGCTTTTATTGTCCTCATTTGTAAGTCGCTTTGGATAAAAGCGTCTGCTAAATTACAAAATGTAAATGTAAATGTAAACGTTCTACGTTTCTTATTTATTTGGTTACATATTATAGGCTACATGTTTACTTATTTCCAGTTTTGTATACCTATTTAAACTTTATGTAAGTTATTTGTTATTTTATATTAGGCATAGCCAGGCCCGGACTGGCCATCGGGAGCACCGGGAGAATTCGGCTGATTTGGCCCACTGCCCTGTTTTTTTTTGTTTGTTTTTTTTGTTATTATTATTATTCATATTTTATATTTATGCCTTCTCAATGTACCAAAGTAATCATTTCCAATTTTTTCATTCGATAATAAATCGATAATAAATCATACATCGGTTAGTCTTGACTGTCAGCGCTGCGCTATAGGAATCGGTTCACGTGTGTTCCGCGCATCCGTCAAACGGTTCCAAACAGAACCGATGCTCGGGACTCGTTGAAAGAGAGGAAGCGGCCAGAAGAAGCAGTCAAATGTAGCAACATCACTGACCTGTTCAGGGCTTCAAGTGCAGGTCAGTTTCATCTGTAAATACGCTAGATAGTTTTGTCTTTATTAACCTAGTTGATTATTAAACTAGTATCTGTTAGGCTATCAGTAGCACCCCATTATTATCATCATTCAGAATACTGTGCTAAAGGACATCAATATCGATTGTAAAGTTACATTAAAAAATGTAGCAGAGACAGATATTCACATGGATTTATTGTACAGGGAGGGAGGGAG